CTATCATCTCTGCATCCCATCACACAGAGACATTAACAGACCACTCCTCAGAGCCCAGCTGTCATATTTACCTCATCTTACGAAATGTCTTCACTCTGATGATGGTGGTTCTGCTGCTGCTTTTTGTGGGACTTCTTCACTTTAGGAAACGCGGAGCTACAGCTAACTAATGGTTGCCCAACTATAAATGTCACTGTGACACAAGAGAAAATGATTCAGCTACTGATGAAAAATAGAAACATCAAAACTAAAGAGTTAATATCACATCATGATTCATCTGGATACTCAATGAAGAATTTTGCATGCTGTATTTTTAAGCTTTTAGCAGCAGGTGTATGATGTGCTGTGACATGTTTAAGAAGTTAAAACAATAAAAAACACAACAAAAGTCATATATGTTGAAACATTTTTAAGACAACCACCATAATTCTGACAAACATCTGCAAAATTACTGCAATATTGCTACTTGTCTAGTAAGATACTTTCATTTGTGTTTGTTTTTGTGGACACAAGTGAGAAGTATGACGTTTTATGTACTAATATGTGTCTCACTTTTATCTGATTGTATTTTATATGCTAAAAATAATAAATACATTAAATATTTGATCATATACTTAAATAATTGCTTTTGCAATGCAAGGCATGTTGGGCTGGACAGTAGATAACTTTAAAACATGCCTTTCAGGTGGTTTTTTTTTATTATTATTCTTTTAAATTGGCTGTTATGCAGTAATTTTAATGGTACAGTTAACTTGAGATCAAGTTGAGATTGTGAGTGATTTTGATCCACAAACTACAATTTGTAAATGTTTCACAATAAATTTTAGCAAACTGCAAACCTTGCTGTTTTCAGACGGAGAGTGCAATTGTTGTATTTCAGTGATTTATCTTCAGTTATAATGTCAAACACCAGCACATGTGATCAAAGGTACAAACCTGAAGCATGAAAATGCCCATTGAAAGACAAAAGCCCACACTGCTTCCTGCTCTGAAGAACTTATTTGCATTTGGAGAGCTGCTTCCTCTGTCTCACATGCTTGCAAACAGTTATAAAAGTCTTATTACTTTTACTTATAGGTGTCACGACTGCAGTTGTTTGTTCACTCAAACATAAACGTGAAATGTAAAGTTAAAGTTAAAAAACTAAGAGTAACAGTGAACTTTTAAATCTATGGTCAAGTGCTTTAACTGTGAAAGTTCTTAATAATTATTTATGAAATTGTCGTCATCTTTTTATTTGAGGTTGCCAGAGAAAGAACTTTTGAAGAACCTGGTAGA